CCTCTCAACCCATAATGATCAAACACTACCCGACAAGAGAGGACCTCTCCCTCGGCTACAAGGTACAGTATCACACTCTTTGCTTAAGATGGATCTCGAGAATTAAAACCTTTGAAAACGTTTTTCATAAAACACACACACACACACACACACACATATATATATATATATATATATATATATATATATATATATATATATATATATATATATATATATATATCTATATAAATAAATTTTGCAAAACAAATCTCAAATAAGTTTGAAATCAACTGCCGATAGTTTAGGTTTCCATTAGAGAGAGTGTTGTCCCCGATCATTCACTTTGTCCAACAAAGGGGCTGATTCTGTCACTATGACCATCCACTCTAGTGAATTCTCAAATTGCCCAAACATACCCATGTTTTGACCCCCGCTAAGGATTTCACTAATTGGCATATCAAAGACAGCCCAATCCAACACCTAGTTCAGTACCATAATCGAGTCTAGGGGTTAGGTGTAACTTTTCAGTTTTACCCATCTGTTTCCAAGGTCCAGGGCATAACTAGAAAATGATCTGTTTTAGAGTTTCAAGCAAACCCACACTACATGTACTTCAGGTATAACCCTGGCAGCTGAGACAAACTGCCCCAACCGACTTGGCAGCATATTACTGTCAGCCTTGGCAGGATAAACTCCCCCAGGTCTATCCAATGGCTGTAAACATTCTAAACTAACACAAGTCTCATAAGTGTCGAATTTAAGGGTAATTACACAGAAACATACCAAATATAACATGAATCAATTATGTACTTTTATTCATTTACAATAAATGTCAATTGTACATCAATCTGATTGGAGCTAAGGCATACATTGTTTAACATTTCAAACTCAAGCAACTGGATTTCACACTTGTAATAGTCAAACTTTTGGAAATCTTTCCTCCTCCCACCTAGTGTTTATGGTCCTTGCGTCTAACTTAGGGGTTGGCAGGTCTGTTTTTTTTTCTTGCCTTAATGAAATAGTAATTTAAGTTCAATGTTTAAGGTACAATTGGAATGAGTTCCCTTAATCAAGCTGCCTTAAACTCTACCTGTGTTGGTCTGTGCCCTAGCCAAGACTTTCCCTTTGGTTGTGGTATTGAGATTAGTTCAATAATGCCTTGTTGTTTTTTACCCAGCCTTAGACACATATCCTATGGATCTCAAGGTCCACACTATCATGATATTAGAAGACCCTAGCATAAGGGTAATGTTCTCATCATCGGTTTTTTTTTTTTTTTTTTTTTTTTGAATTGTACTCTTCTAACAATGCCAACTCACTTTGTAGTGACATGGATTCTAGAGTGTAATTTTGGATCTCCATGTTAGCATCGTAGAACTTAATCCTTTAGTGGAGGGATGAGGGTATTGTCCCTGTTGAATGCAACCATGGCCTCCTGAACAAAAGGTTAAAATTTGCAAGTGTATCAATGACAACAAAAGTAACTTGGAATTAGACCATCCCTATTGTAAAGTCGAGGGTGACCACCCCTTCTACTTCTATTTCATGATTGTCAAAGGCTTTGACTATAACCTACAAGGATGGAGATTGTCTTCTAGACCCAAATACTGTGTGACATAGAGTGGATATACATTCAACCATACCTCATTGTCTAACAAGTAGAGGGGGGCCCTTTGATTCATGCAATCTAAAGTTATATTAAGGACATTTGTATTGTTGACCCCTTCCTTTAGCAAATTTTGGTCTATGAAAGTATGTGCGGGTTTGGCCCAAGCTTGCAATGGTGTGAGCCAAGTGTTAAGGCCTTATATATCATTTGGGATGTGTGCTTGGCTAAGAAGGTCCATCACTACCTTTCTATAGCCAAGAGAGGTCATTAATAATCCCCAAACCAAAATGTTAGTTGGGGATGTGTGCCTGACTTTTGTTTTATACATGCTCTTGTACTATTGGTGACACTACTAGAGGTGTCATGGATGTGGAGGCTTCACCTATCCCTTGTCTAGTCGGGTGCCATTTTAGTTTAGGAGGTTTAAAATGCCTGTCACTTCCAATCCTATATGTCACGTCAGCTAGTCCTTGTTGTCTTTAGATGATTGGTTCATTTGTCCTTCTTAGAAGATCTCTTCTAACAACACAGGGTAGCTGATTCTTAGAGCCTTGTTTTGTTGTCCCATCTTGATCATGTCCTCTAGGAACATAGGATGTTGACTTTTGGTTGACCATTCTGGCTTTGCTGACCTATTTGGATTACCTTTTCAAGAGTCACAAGTCGAGATGGGTGTTTCATTGACTCCTCTAGAGCATTCTGGTAGGAAATGTGAGTCCAACTTCTTCATATTTTGTGCCTCCAACTAGCTTGTCAAACGTAACTGGTCCTGGAACATAGAAGATTTTTTCATTGACAACTGGGAAGGACCATATTCACATTCTCTTCTAACTATATCTTGGTGATGAATTATGTCAGGTCGAAGGTCAATTTAGCCCACCAATGAACTGTAGCCATAGTTCCCAATTCCATTGATTTCTTTGCCTCCTTGATTGAACTGATCAATGATGTGAGGTCTAACACCTCCGATACTGTTGAGACTGTCGGTATAAGATTTACCGGTTGGATTGGTCTAATGAACTTTTTTGGATAAATGGTTGGACTATCCATCTTGGCCTGCAAAGTGCCGACCTGATGCCTAGGTAATGGGTTTGTAGTGATGTTTGGCTACTATTGATTGCTTGAACTTGGGATAGTGATCTATTTCTTGTCTATTGGGTCCTATATGACATTATTTAGCACATGACATTTGTTGGTTCAGTGACTTGGTACATGATGAAACTCACAAATAGCATTTCTGTTAAACTATGATGGTAAAGGGTCCAGAGGTGGCCTGAGTGCTAAGGGAGACAAAAGGTCCATCTCAAGAAGGCCTGGGAGCAATTGGCTCATGGGACTACCTAAGTTAGTACTCTCTGTCCTGTCTCTAGGGGTACTAACTCCTGTACTACCTAGGTTGATTGCTTTGGCTATGCTGATTCTGTTCCAGTTTACTTTCATAGACTGATGCTTTTCCTGCATTATTTACAATTGGTTGAGTCTTGTAGTTGATTGAAAGTTGGTTGACATTCGGCTGGGAAGATCCAGCCCTTATGGGCTTTTTGTCGCTGGTGAGTGCATTACAGATCTTGTTTGTAGAAGGAACAAGTGGGATTGTTCTACCGACTACTAATGAGTCTTTGATTTGATAGCCGATGTAGATTATGTAATGGAAAGTCAGGTGATGGGTTAGTGTTAGCCTGCTTGAGTGTTTTATGTTGAAGCACTTTAGGACCATAGCAATCTAGTCCTCTTCGCTAGGCCTTTTTAGCACTTGAGCTACTTGGGCCCTCCACCTAATATTTTCTATTATGTGTTGTAAGAACAGTGTGTGGTGACCTCACATGATGGTTGGTGCCTTGGTGGTAGTTGTAAAAGCACAACTTGGGTTCCATTCTTCACCAAGAACATAAGCGCGAGATCCGATATCTTTAAAGCTACTAGTTGTGACATCTGTGGTAACCTCACATGTGGCTGCAGTTATTGTTGATGTCACTGAAGAAGTTGTAGGATCATTTCTTTCATCTCATTATGTTGCTACTCCTATCGGTCGATTCAGTTGACCTTTTGGAGGTTGGTGGCTATGTTTTCTAGGCGGCCTTCAATACTAGCAACCCAATCCCCAAGGCTATAGACTTTGTTGGCAAGGATCTTGATCTCCTTGCCTTCTTCATACTTGAATTGAGCCTCCGAGACCAGAGTATTTTTGAGGTCTTCACCTTCTTGGATACCATCTCCTTGATTAAGAACACAACTAGATATTCTAAATGTAAGTCTCTGTGAAAGGCACTATAGAGGCCTGCCCGAAAGATGACAAATGGCTATACAATAAGGGTCATTGGGAAGCTGAGGAGAGGTAGGAATTCTCAGATCTTGAATTTGAGATCTAGGAGGGAAGCTTTAGGCAGGAAGAGAGTCCTCAACTAGGAATAGTAGAGCTTACAGTGTGAGAGTATAAATGCGTGATGGATCTCTTTAGGAAACCCTATTTATGTATTTTCTAGGAAACTTTCCTCTTTCGTGAAGTTCCTTTAGAGTTTGTTACAAAGTTGTTAGGTCGGTGACATCTGGACTAGTTGGGCCTTGTCACGTGTCCATGCGGGGTTACCTTGGATGTGAGCATGTGAGCACAAGTGTTGCTAGTCCCTCCTTTTGAAGCCTTGGGTAGACTCGTGATGGGAGATTTAGTGTAAGAATGTTATGTGTTGATCCATGTACAATGAACGAATAATAAAAAGCAGTGGTAAATAGAAATATGAAATCATAGGATATAATTACGTTGTAGAATCATGATGGCCTCATTGCGATAAGGGATATCAATACAACGCGATACCATAATGTTTTACTATGATGAAAATTGCAACATCAAAGTTGTGATACAAACTTGCGAGATAGGCCTGCAACATCCTTTGCGTGCTATTACCCATCTGGGATCGGGTGTTGTGGATTGTAAGAGTAGTTAATAGGGTTCTGCAGTAGATCCCGAATTGGAGCCAAATACATAAACTATTAGTGAGGCTACCAAGGAAACCATGCGCATAAAAAAGTTAGTCTAGGAGCTGGGGTCGTTCCATATTAGACCCATAGCTCAAGTGAAGGAGCCTAGAGCCCACTCAAAATCAAAGCATATCAAGTGAAATTGTCACATCATATGGCGGATCATCAAAAGAGGGGTTTGATTGTGAAACATTGAACTAGACCAATCAGATATTTTTGCTTTTGATTTGCTACTAGGGGATCCCTTTGGGGTTGTACCTAGGTATGTTGGTGTTGGTGCAATCAAAGATGGGACTATAGCAGATGGATATCTAAATTTCTTGGCAGTAGATTTCGAATAAGTTTAAAATCGATTTGCCAAATGCTTTTATACTAATAAATAGTTTACTTTTGGAGATGGTTTGCAAAATACTTTTCCACACACTCCATAGTAGAGAACATGACACTAAATTTCACAAAGTTGGGATACATCCTTCCCAAAATTGCAATGTTTGGTTAATGAGAAAGCAAATATCATGTAAATGTTTATAAGACCAATCAGAGTGATCTTGTATTAGAGAACCTTAAAATTAGACTACGTTCACCTTTAGCATTTCCACAAACCCAATCCAGCCTGTTGGTATCTCTATATTATACAACAAGATCATGTTATAATAGTACCTTTGGCAAAACACTGGAGTATACACACACATGATTTGGCAACCAGAACTTGACAGATCTTCGTTTCCACATTAGAGTCCAGGATACACAAGGAAAGACATTGTAGTAGATTTCTGGATACACGTACAGGAGTAAACTTTTCTGATATTGAATGTAAAGAACTTTCCTTTCACCTGATTGCTCCAAGCAAATTTGCACCATCGAGTTTTGCACCCTCCAAGTGCTGAGAGGTTTCAGATGCAAAGTGCAGTAAGAGAGCCCATAAAACTTAGCTTATCAAGAAACAGAAAGAGCAAATGTAAATAATTCACAAATTCCTTGTCATTATATGAAAAACAATCACATGTTGCATTTTATGAGACGACAATGTAACGTGTACTCGGTCTCTGAAACTATCAAGGCTCAACATCTAGAGTACGTATTTTCTAAGTTTATGAAGCAGTGGGTAGAGTTTGCAGTACAAAAAATAAGTCCTGTTCCTGTTTTAACTCTGAAAGACGTACAATTAAAAAAAAAAGAGGGTTTTGTTATAAGAATACAACTTTACATATGATGCAGGGCAAAAGTGTAGGGTAAGTTGAACCCAATTTTCCTCCAGGTCATTATAGACCTCGAATGGCTCTCATGATGGTCTGACGATCAGGTATCAATGAGATCCCAAATCAGTTCCATGGGCCAACAAATATTCATGAACAAACCCAAGCCTAATAAATCATTGAGTTGAACCCAAGTGCCTCAAAATTGATCCCACTTAAGCAAGCCCAGAACGTTGGTTGCTGACTCAGGTGGACCCAATATAATATGCAGAAGATTCAATCCCAATCAAAACTTCTCAAGATTCTCATAGTAATGAAAGCTGAATTGTTTATTATAATTTTATGGTATGATACTGACTCCATGCTCTTAAGATGGTTAAGCGTTCTATATGTTTAGTTAGTGTGTGGTCCCATGTTTCTTCTATGTTTTTAAGTGATGCATTTAGCATGAAAAAGGTGGTATAGAATTTTTGAGATATCATTTTTTTATCAATAAGTATCTTTGAGATATCTAAAAGAATATTAAGCGTACTCATTCCTTAGTTATCACTTAAGAGGGAATAATGTAACTCATCCTCCTCTATCTTCTTTTCCACCAGTTCCCATGTACCATTCTTATATAGAGCACTGGTTTCTTCCTTTATTGCATCAGTCCATTTAGGAATAGATAGAATCTCTGCAACAGTTTTGGGGATGGGGACACTATCAATGGAAGAAAGGAAAGCACGGAAGGAGGGTGGGACATTTTCATAGGAAACATAATGCTAAATGGGATGATTGGTGGAACAAGATCTGACACCCTTCCTTTTAGCAATAGGAAAGTCTAGATCACTAGCAGCAAGGACAACAATATCAATAGGATCAAGGACATCAATAGGGATGGGAGTACCTAGCTGAGGAGGATTTTCCTTCGAAGAACCTGATGATATCGGCTGCATGGCTTGAAGTTAATCCACGACTCTTGAACTTAGTTGAGCTTGCAATGATATAAAGGAAGACACAATAGGGAGAAAGAATATTGGGAGGAGGAAACAGAACCTGAACTAGTTTCTTCTCAACCCTATACTCCCCTTTAGGAGAAACAGAAAAGAAGGGGTCAAACTCAAAGGAGACGTCCATGGAGATAAAGTACTTGTGAGACACAGGGTAAAAACACTTGTAGCCCTTTCAAGAAAAGGTAATAACCAAGGGAGATGTAGGGAATGGCTTTAGGATCAAGTTTACCCTGAGTGGTAGACAAGTCATGGACAAAAGACTGACATCCAAACATATGCATAGGAACTGAAAACAACAAAGCTTTAAGGAAGAGGAGTTGATGTGGGGTCTTATAATTCAACAACCGAGAAGGCATACAATTAATAACATAGGTAACAGATAACACAACCGAGATGTTGGCTATAGCTGCACCCTATGATAATGGAATTTGGTAAATGGATGTCAACAACAGCCAGAAGGATTTGTTACCAAAGGTCAAGAACACATGGTGTGTAAGCTCAACACACCCATATATGGATTAAAGCAATATTCAAGAAGTTGGAACGTCCAGATTGACTCAATTGTCAAAGAATTTGACTTTGAGAAAAATCTGGTTGAACCCTATGTTTATAGAAAGATAGTGGGAGACAAGGTTGCATTCTTACTTCTATACGTAGATGACATTTTGCTCATTGAGAATGACGTAGGAATGTTAATAACAGTGAAAATATTGCTCTTACAATAATTTTCCATGAAAGATCTTGTTGGAGAAGCTTCTTATATCTTGGGACTTTGACTCTATAGAGATAGATCAATGCGGTTGGTTGGATTGTTTCAGTCTATTTACATTGACAAGATAGTCAAGAAATTCAACATGCAAGATTCCAAGAAGAGAGCATAATGTATGCTATGTTGTGCACTTGACTTAACATATCTCAAGCCGTTAGTGTTGTAAGCAGATTTCAATCCAACCCATGAATAAAGCATTGGACAACTGTGAACAACATATAAGGATGGCAACGAGGCAGGTTTGGGGAAGCTTTTGTAAACCTCCCACCTCTCTAAACCTCCTTACCCATACCCACCCCAAAACCCATATAGGGGGATTTTGAAAATCCAAACCGCATCTAATTTCCTATTATTTCTTATTATATATAAGCAATAAATAAGTAAAATAATATAAACAAACAACAAAATTTTTAGCTATTTGATTACGACATTTAAAAAACACCAAACTATCAATTATCCTTCACATAAAATTCAAAATATTATTAAATTCAACATTTAATATTGTACCCTACCTGTACCTATACAGGTTGTAGAATCCCAAAACCTGTCCTTTAAGCAAAAACAACCTGCCCCATTGGGGTGGGTACCTACTAGGTAGGTAGAAGTTGCCATCCCTACAACACACTAAAATATCTAAGAACTAAAGATTGGTTACATAGATGTCAATTTCTAGTTTGATCTAGGTGATAGAAAGTCTATGTCTAAATATATCTTTATGATTGGATCCTGTGTTGTCAGTTGGAGAAATAGCAAACAAGGGTCCATAGCAAACTCTACGACCGAAGTCGAGTACAATGTTGCATGTGAGGTTGCCAAGGAAATAGTTTAGATGAGAGGAGATCTACATCAGGAGTATGCACCTTTGTGGGAGGAAACTCGGTCTCATAGAAGAGTAAAAAATAGTTAGTTGTGGCTAGATCAAGTGTAGAGGCTGAATATAGATTTATGGCTCATGGTGTTTCAGAACTGCTTTGGGTGAGATCTCTATTGAATGAGATTGGAATAAAAGCGAATGATGTTATATTGTGACAACCAAGCTGCAATCAATATTGCCCACAATCCAATTCAGCATGACAGGACTAAACACATTGAGGTTGATAGACACTTCGTAAGAGAAATGGTGACAACTGGAGAAGTCTGCTTGCTTTATGTCTCCTCTAAACTACAATTGGTTGATGTCTTCGCTAAAGGGGTTGCAAAGATAAGCCTGAATACAATCTATGCAAGTTGGGAATGTGTGACATTTACTTCCAACTTGAGGGGGAGTGTTGAGGTTTTAGACAAATCGTGTAGTCTATAGTGGTTGTTTTTGATTATTTATTGTTTAGATAGGATGTGGGGACCACAACACTCTTGTTGGATCCTTTTTGAGCAGTTACAGTGAAGAGGGCAGCCAACATTATTGCTCTCTTTTCTCTCTCAAATCTCTTCTCTTCCTTTTCTCCTTTCTTCTCTTCTTCTATAAGAAATATTCTTTTCTTTTACAGATTTTTATTTCAACACCTTTCTACTACTGAATTGCTTTTGATATGCCAACCAGTAAAATCCATCAAGGGTCAAATATTTGGGCATGTTGAAGCAGTTTAATAAATCACTTGAGTGGGTGATCATAGCGATAGAATCAGCCCCTTTGTTAGACAAAGTGAATATTGATGTTTGCACTCTCTCTAATGAAAACTTAAAACTCCTAGCAATGGATTTTAATAGTATTTGAAATTGGATTTGCAATATATATATATACATATACATATACATATACATATACATATACATATACATATACATATACGTATACATATACGTATACATATACATATACATATACATATACGTATACATATACATATACATATGCTATTTTTTTTGAAAAAGGTTTGCAAAAGTTGTTGATTTAGAGATCTATTCGAGGTATGACACTACATTTTGTAGTCAGGAAGAGGCCCTTCCCTGTAAGCAGTGTCTTGATTATTAAGCAGTAAGAGGTTAAGGGCAAGAGACCATTAGAGAGCTGATAACCTGATGGGTTTTATCTTATATAAGTCCATTATCCTTTGGCTTTCATAGGGTGGTTGAATCCAATGATCACTTATGTTTAAGTGTTGGGCACAAACTGAGCCCAACTTGATGGTCTGAACCAATGTGAACTTGTGTAAGACCTTTGTAGGTCCCATGCCACACAATATTCAGGCCCAAGTGGCAATGCAACACCTAGATATGTCATCCATTAAAGAAAATGGAACTTAGGCCCATTGGCCATTACTAATAAGATTAGTTTAGGAGGTTACAAGAGTTGTCATGTGACATGGGTCGAATTTGGGTATAGATATGGGCATGGAACACCCAATCTCTTAAGAAGATAATGTACTAATCCAAATCTGAATTGGACTAAGTAGAAGTTCAGGACTGTTATCAGTCTTGAACYCTAATGGATTTCAGGATCGAAAATAAGAAAGGTAAGAGGAAAGAAGAGGAAGAGGGAGGAGAAG